GGCCGCCTCTTCCTCGGCAAGAGGATCTCGGGGGCAACGGCGTGGGGGGACTGCACTGCTAGGCCTTGTGGTACCTCTTCTCTCTTCCCCTCCTCCTCCTCCTCCTCCTCCTCCTCCTCTTCCTCTTCCTCTTCCTCTTCCTCTTCCTCTTCCTCTTCCTCCTCCTCAACCTCCTCCTCTTGCGCTTCTTCGCTGGCATTTTCCATGGATCAGGCGCATCGAGTCTGTGGCACTGCCGCCTTGCTGGACCACCTGCGGCACACAACGGTCCATGGTTTTCGACGAAGGAAGCATCAGGGGCGGACTGGCCCATAGGGGGAAGCATCGGCCTCCGAACCCCCCTTCATCGCCGATTGGGGCCACCCAGGTACGTTCGGTTTCTCTATCGAGGACATGTCGCCGATCTGTCGGCGATGTGTCGCTGAGTCCAAGCCAGTGTCAGCCCCCCTGAGCTCGCTCCATCGACATTCGCCTTTTGTCTATCTGGGCACGGTCCCTCTTCCGCGCTATGAGCTGGGCCCCACGACAGGCAGAGCCAGAGCGCGGTGGGCCTAGGCAGAGACCTCTGGAGAGGTCTGGGGTGGGAGATGGGGGAAGAGGTGGAAGGGGCGAGGAGCGTTCTCCATCAGGATCGAGGTGAGGGCCGCCAAGCAGTTCCACACCGGCATCCGGCCCTCTGTCCAGGCTCCCGGCACTCACACGCCGGCCCTGTGCAAGGAGGTGGTGCACAAGATGGTCTCGCCGAACACTGGCGGCGTCTATGTTGACGGCACATTCGGCCGCGGGGGCCACAGCAGGGCCATCTTGGCCGCGCTCTCTCCCGCGGGCAGACTTCACGCGTTCGACATGGACCCGGAGGCCATCAAGGTAGGGAAGGAGCTCATTCGCGTGTTGCCAAAGATGGCCCTGGCCCAGAGTGCCTCCAGCTGCTCGAGCCACTTTTTTGGAGCCGCTGGGGCCTTCCGGGCCTCGTGCACGGGGGTGCCCTGGAGGGCACCCAGGCCTCGCTGGAAATCCTGGGGACACCTCAGGCCAGGGACACCCCTGGCAGCACCCGACTCATGGCGGCAGACTCCCGCTTCACGATCCACCATGCCCCCTTCAGCTCGATGAGGGCGGTGCTCAAGCCGCTGGGCGTCAGCCTGGCGGGGGCCTTCTTCGACTTGGGCATATCGTCTCCCCAGTTCGACGACGCCGGCAGTCGAAGAAGAACAACCGGCCAGAAGCATAAACTTTCGGTTCGCGCGGAGATTTTGGTTTGGAGACGGGCCCCCTTCTCAGGCGCGCGGAGCGCGACAGGAGGCGGCGCCAGAGGCGCCGCACGGGGGTCAGCGCCGATCCAAGATGCCCGCACAGACCTCCGAAAGTCTATGTTCTCAGTCAAGGCCAGGGCGCTGACAGAAGGACCACTCTGGGGTCCGGAGGGGCTCTGGTTTCGGGGCCGTTCCTGAGATCGAGGTTGGGGAACCCGTTCGATTCGTGGCCGAGGCTTACCGTGGCGAGGAAAGCCACGTCGTTCCTTGTCTGGCGTCTCTCGTGGTTGCGCGACGGCCGCATGCCGCGCTCTCCTCCCCCAGGCAGGGGGTTCCGCCCGGAGGCGGACGGCCCTCTGGACCTGCGCTTCGACCAGAGCCAGGGCGTGCCCGCCCACGAGTTCCTGCGGGGCGTGGCGCGGGACGAGCTGGCCAGGATCATACACGACTACGGCGAGACGGGGGACGAGGTAGCCTCGCAGCGCATCCTCGAAGAAGAAGCGGCCGCGTGCGCATCCGCTTTCGGAGGCCCCGCGCGGCCATCTCGGGCTGCGTCGCCTCGCGGCCCCCCCCCCCCATGCGGCGCCCGCGGCCGCGCCACCTCGGCGCGCTTTTCGCGCGCTCGGGGGGGGGGGGGGGGGCTGCGGCTGCGGCTCTCGGGCTGCGGCTGCGGTGTCAGCGCTGACCCGAGAAGTCCCTGAGGGCCCCCGAACGCTAATGCGTGTGTGGTCTTGTTCGTCTTCTAGCGCGTCGCGGATGCCATCTGCCTTGCCCGCACAGCAGGCCGGCTCCCGGAGCGCACCCGCGAGTTCGCGGCCCTGGTGGCGCAGGCGAAGGGCAAGGAGTACCAGGCGATGCACCCCGCCAAGATGACGTTCCAGGCGCTCGAAGAAGAACAACCATCACAGACATACACTTTGGGATCTCCTCGCGAAGTTCTTCGATCGGCGCTGGACCCCTGCGTTGCGCGGGGTGCCCAGCGCTGATCCGACAAATCCGCGCGGAGCTCCGAAAGTTTATGTTTTTCAGGCGCTGCGGATGCACCTCAACGACGAGATCGGCGAGATGCGGCGCGGGATGCTGGCCGCGTTCAGGCTGCTGGGGGACGGGGGGCGCATCGGGCTGCTCACGTGGAAGCACTCGGAGTGCAACGTCGTCGTCGACGTCTTCCGTAGCCTGGAGGCGGTCCGGGAGAAGGAGCCGCTGTTGAAGTGGTACCGCGAGCAGGCTGGGGCACCTGCACTGCCGGAGGGCCCGTCGATGGAGATGGACGACGTGGTCCGGCCCTCCGAGCAGGAGCTCCAGATGAACTCGCGCTCGCGCTCGGCCCTGCTGCACGTGCTGAGGAAGAGGCGGCTGCCGCGGCTGGCGAGGCTCGAGGAGCTGGCGCGAGGCCTCCCTGGCTGGAGCGCGGCCCTGGCGCCCGTGGTCGTGGCCAGTGGCGGTGCGGTCACCGAGCCAGCCCGCAAGAAGAGGCGTCGGGGGTGGACAGAGCCCCCACCCTGACACGTCGATGGGTGGATTATCCGTTTTCGGTTCTCGAGCAGCGCCGCGGCCGTCATTTTCCAGGCTTGCGCCCGCCAGGTGTGGGCCCGAGGTCGCTTTCACTCAACCACGTTTGGCTAAAGTCGATGGAGGAAAAGCCACCCAGACTGGACACTTGGCGTTCACTGAACGGCCTTGGGCGTTTACTGAACAGCCTTGCCCTGTTCGACTCGTTCGTTGGGTGCATTTACTAAACGGCCTCGCTTGTCGAGGTGGTTATTATCAGGGTGGATTTTCTGCCCTCTATAAAGGGGGTTCTGTCCATCCCCGAAGGCGGCGGGAGGCAGCGCCCCCCGAGGGCGGCGATGCCGGCTCCCCTGCAGCGCCCTCCGCGCACCCTCTGCCCCAGCCACGCGGAAGAGTGGCTCTTCGCTGCAGTGGCCTTCGGCGCGCGCCTTTCGCGCGGCGCGGGGGGGATGGGGATGCCCAGCAAGTCGCGCACCGAAGGCCATGTTGGCCTCCTGGACAGCTTGCGTCGTTCCCCAGTCAGAGCTTGCCTCTGCAGGGGTCCTCGCGGATTCATCTGGTTAGGTGAGCTGTGGCGCCGATTTCCGCGGTCCGCCTGGCTGCCCGGTGCCCGCTTGCCTGGGTGCCCCGGAGCCCAGGTGCCCGGGTGCCCGGGTGCCCGGTAGCCCTATAGCCCTATAGCCCTATAGCCCTATAGCCCTATAGCCCTATAGCCCTATAGCCCTATAGCCCTATAGCCCTATAGCCTTACAGCCCTATAGCCCTACGGCCCTATAGCCCTATAGCCCTATAGCCCTATAGCCCTATAGCCCTATAGCCCTATAGGCCTATCGCCCTATCGCCCTATAGCCCTATAGCCCTATAGCCCTATAGCCCTATACCCTCATAGCCCTATTGCCCAGTCGCCCTATAGCCCTATAGCCCTAAACCCCTTTCCCCGAGAGCCCTACAGCCCTAGAGCCTTCTTGCCCTATAGCCCTATAGCCCTTTTGCCCTATAGCCGTATAGCTCCGTATTCCCTTTTGCCCTATAGACCTATATCCCTGTGGTCCTCCAGCCCTATAGCCGCATAGCCCTAACAAAATTATAATTTGTTTTTTCTCCGGTATCTTCATTGTGTGACAGACGTTCAATTTCTTTGTTAGGCAATATTTCGATTCTAAAAAAACGTGGCGCCCCAGTGGTCTGGACCCCTTCCTGGGCACTGGCCTTTTTATTTTGATTTCGGACGTAACCTGAATTTGTTTCTAGCGAGGTAAACTGATTGAACTGAACTGACTGGTCGCACCCGTTACGCGACGGTTTTGTTCTCGGCCGCCAAGGGCGCAACCGATGGCGCAACCGATAGGATACGGTTTTATTCTCGGCTGCCGAGGGCGCAACCTATGGCGCAACCGAGAGGAGACGGTTTTTATTCTCGGCCGCCGAGGGCGCAACCTGTGGCGCAACCGATAGGAAACGGTTTTATTCTCGGCCGCCGAGGGCGCTACTTACGGCGCAACCGAGAGGAGACGGTTTTAATTTTCTGCCGCCGAGAGCGCAACCTATGGCGCAACCGAGAGGAGACGGTTTTATTCTCGGCCTCCGAGGACGCAACCTATGGCGCAACCGAGAGGAGACGGTTTTTATTTTCGGCCGCCGAGGGCGCAACTTGTGGCGCAACTTATGGCGCAACCTTTGGCGCAACCTAGGTGCCAGGAGACGGAGGATGAGCAGGAGGAGGAAGAGGAGAAAAGAGGACGACGTCTTAGATGAGGACGACGAGGAGGAGCTGGAGCAGGAGGGAAACGATGAGGATGAGGTGGAGGACGAGGAGGAGGAGGAGGAGGAGGAGGAGGAGGAGGAGGAGGAGGAGGACGACGACGATCAGGATGGGGATGAGGATGGGGAGGACTACGAGTAGTACGAGGACGAAGCGTGGGCATTCGAGTGCGTGCGGGGCTGCGCCTGATCTCTGCTCGCCGCCTGGGCTGTCGGTGGGGCCCGATCGGCGCGCTGTCTCGTGCTGTTTTTGTGACGGCACCTGGGCCCGGAAACGAAGGGCTCCGGGCGGCCGAATACCAGCAGACGCTTGCCGCCGTGATTTTTGTTCACGACGGGAGGACGTGAGGAGGAGGAGGAGGAGGAGGAGGAGGAGGAGGAGGAGGAGGAGGAAGAGGAGGAGGAGGAGGAGGAGGAGGAGGAGAAGGAGGAGGAGGAGGAGGAGGAGGAGGAGGAGGAGGAGGAATGGGACAGGCCGCTCATGCCTACAGGGCCGCTCCTGCGTGTGGCTGGCTGCCGCCGACCTCCGCCCCGCTGTCGGGGGAGTGCGGCCACTGCGGCGGCGCGCACCCCGCCAGGCGCTGCACCTTCGGCGCATGCCGGCGCGAGCGGTACCTGCCGTGCGCCGGCTCGGCCCCGCACCTGCCGTGCTTCTGGCGCCGCTTCGTGGTGCCGCTCTCGCGCGCCGACGCCGGCGCCTTCGACCCCGCGGACCCGCGCGGCTCAGGGAGGGCCGACGTGGGGCTGCGCTGCCTCTCCGCGGCGCTGTTCCGGAGCCAGGGCCTGCGCAAGAGCACGCAGGCCCCGGGGCCCGCAAGAATCGGGGGTGGGCAGAACCCCCACCCTGACACGTCGTTTGGTGGATTGTCCGCTTTCGGTTCTCGAGAGGGCACCGCGGCCGTCATTTTCAAGGCTTGCGCCGGCCAGGTTTGGGCCCGTCGCTTTCACTGAACCACGTTTTGCTAAACGGGGTTCTGTCCATCCCCGAAAAGACGGTGCGGTGACCGCGCCGTGTGGCGAGTCCGTGGGGACTCGGGGTCACCGCACGATTTCGGGACTTGGGGGTCGCTCTCTGAGGATGCCTGAGATCCGACGGCGCGAGAAAATGTAAACATCGTAGCACGACCGGAGACCTGGACCCCCCGGTTTCGGGCTGGATCATGGATCCGTGAAGGTCCCGGGGCCCGAAACCAGGCGAACACGCCCAGCGTGGAGAAACTGCAGGGTCCGAGGGGGGCGTGCGATGGTGGCGTCCGATGGTGGCACCCGGCGGCGCCCGCGCGACTGGTCCGGCAGCATCCCCCGCGCAACCAGACGTCCGACGTGTGGAGTTTCTCGAGACGGAGTTCCAGCCAGTTCTGGGCCTTCTCGCCGGGGAGGAGGAGGAAGAGCAGGAGGGAGGAGGAGGAGGAGGAGGAGGAGGA